CGGTAGTACCTCTTGCAAGGATTCCAGAAATGCAATTTATATTCTGCTAACTTTAGTCTGTGACATTTTATAAGATAAAAACATTAAGCCTAAAACCACTTTCAATCTTGCCGGAAGTGGAGGGGGGAGGATGTATTATGACAGCTGCCGCCAGCTGCCGGCCAAGTTACCTACTGGTATTTATTTATATGTCATATAAGGAGAGTTTACAGGTTTCTCTTATAAAATGTAAATGAATTGACTTAAAATAATGTAATTAACATTGCTGGAATTCTTGTAAGATAGTAATTAATTTGAATACTGTATAAGCATGCTATAGTTTGCAGACATAAAAATTTTAGTAATTATTTAGTACATTTGTGTACAAAAGACTAAAAAAAATTATCTCATGCAAAATATATGATTTCTATATTCAAATTATTCTCTGTCTTGCAAGGATTCCAGCAATGAAATGTATATTCTGCTAACTTTAGTCTGTGACATTTTATAAGATAAAAACTTTAAGCCTAAAACCATAGTCGCCGGAAGTCGGAAGAGAGTTGATTTATTGTGACAGCTGGGCTGGAGGGCAGACAGTGGTTACTTAGTGGTATTTATTTATCAGTTATATAGGGGGAGTTTAGGTTTTCTCTTATAAAATGACACTGAATTGACTTACGAGAATATAATTAACATTGCTAGAATTCTTGTAAGATAGTGATTAATTTGAATATAAACATGTTTATTTAACAGTCCTACTAAGCTTTTCTCATTTTAAAATTCCAATGATATGACCTAGGAAAATATAATTAACATAGCTGGGATTCTTGTAAGATACTGATTTACTTGAATATAATCATGTTGTAATTCGCACTAGACATAACAACTTTAGTACCGTAATCAAATTAGTACATGTGCAGTCCAGCTTTGCACTAATTTATTTTACATTTATTTTAGTATGGTGTGTGAATGTAAATGGGTAAAAATAAATGAAGAAATTTATGTAAATCTACCCAAAAATACAGTTGAAAAACTTTTTATAAAATGTACTACAGTATTGTACACTAATGTACTACATTTTTTATATCGTGAGCAAAATATATGACATTTATATTCAAATTAATCTCTGTCTTGCAAGGATTTCAGCAATGCAAATTATATTATCGTAACTTTAGTCTGAGATATTATATAAAATAAACATAAAGAAATCACCAATCTTTTATCTTGAACACGAGGGTAGTGGGAAGACAGCGGGGGGGGGGAGGGGGCGGGAGGTGAGGTGACAGAATGTCTGGCGTTTGTTTGTTTATTTATTTGAGATAAGATTTGACAGTTGGCGCTGAAGGCGTGCCTGCGTGTTTATTTATCATTACTTAAGAGTGACTAAGCTCTTCTCATAATTTTCCACCCAAACGACCTGGGTGAATATAACTTACATTGGAGGGTTTCTTGTAAGATAGTAATTTATTTGAATGTTTTTTTTTTCAATTTCAATTTTAATTGTTTATTCATTGATAGAGGAAGCTGGATCCTAGTGCTGTCACTTGGTACCCCTGTACCATAACACCAGAAGCAACTGGCCAGTGTCACAAGTATATACAGTCATCCCTTGGTTATCGCGCCTAATTGGGACCCCGCCGATAACGAAAGTACAGAACCTATGGGATTTATTCTAATTGGTTCCAGGCACCCAAGACCCAACCCCAAGTGTCCTATTTTACGACCATTTATACCCACTTTATACCGTATATGTATAATGTTATGGTAAATATCATAAACACACACAGGAATGGCTAGGTTTATTACAAAGTGATGAAAAGGGTACGCTTAATACTGTAGTCCACAAAACATGTAGCTATACTTTTTTTATTTGGTCCCCTATCATAGGAGTCCGTTTTCTGTCACATCAGGACGCCTGAGTCCTCCATTTTCTCTCTTAATCTTATAGTGCACCAGAAACTTTACTATTTTTAGTAATGCCACAGAATTTGAAATTGCAACTTGCAATTGTTGAGGCAACTAGATTTGTCTGATTACAGCAAATGTCCGTGGACCCCCCCCACCCCCCCCAAAAAAAAAAAAACTTGACGCCTGCTGGACCACCACTCCACGACCCCCTGACGGAGACACGATGATCATCCCAATACTGGTCAGATAATTATGTGTTAAAGGAATATGCTTCCTTCCTTAGGCTTTTTTTAAGCATTTGCCTCCAGGTGTAATGTTAACCTACATCTATTGAGGATAAAATCTTTCACCTACAAATTGACAATAACACATTTGCTGTAATCGGACATATCTAGTTGCCTCAACAATTGCAACCCCAGTTGCAATTGGGGTTGCAATTTCAAATTCTGTGTCATTACTAAGGGATAGTGAAGTCTCTGGTGCACTGTAAGATTAAGAGAGGAAACGGAGGACTCAGGCGTCCTGATGTGAGAGAAAACGGACTCGTATGATGGGGGACCAAATAAAAAAAGCATAGCTACATGTTTTGTGGACTACAGTATTAAGCGTACCCTTTTCATCACTTTGTAATAAACCTAGCCATGCCTTTGTGTGTTTATGATATTTACCATAACATTTTATATATATTTAGTGGGTCTAAATGGTCATAAAATGGGAAACTTGGGGTTCGGTCTTGGGTGCCTGGAACCAATTAGAATAAATCCCATAGGTTCTGTACTTTCGTTATCGGAACCCCAATTAGTTAAACCACATGGATAATTGTATATACTTGCATACCATATTGTTTTAAAAGGTGGTACAGGGGTACTCAAGTGACAGTATTTAGACCCGCTTCCTCTATCATGAACAAACAATTAAAATTTAAATTGAAAAATAAAAAAACATTCTAAATAATGACGAGTAAACCTGGTATGCTACAGAGCGCATATCAATGGTGCATCGTGATATTCTTATAGAGTGTGCTGCCAGGCGCACGCATCGAAAAAGTGAATTGGTGTCAATATTGTACAGCAACAATGGACCAAAAACTTGTACCAGCATAGCCTAAATGGACATATGCATTAAAATTGTTATATCTATTGGAAATATAGCTTGTTTATACAGGTATTCAAATAAGTTACTATCTTACAAGAATCCCACCAATGTAAGTTATATTCACCCAGGTCGTTTGGGTGGCAAATTATGAGAAGAGCTTAGTCACTCTTAAGTAATGATAAATAAACACGCAGGCAGGCTAAATAAACACGCAGGCAGGCCTTCAGCGCCAACTGTCAAATCTTATCTCAAATAAATAAACAAACAAACAAACTCCAGACATTCTGTCACCTCACCTCCTGCCCCCTCCCCCCACCCTGCTCCCCCCCTCTTCCCCCAAGCTCCTGGCTACTTCCGTCCTCGTGTTCCCAGACAAAAGATTGGTGATTTCTTTATGTTTATTTTATATAATATCTCAGACTAAAGTTAGGAAAATATAATTTGCATTGCTGAAATCCTTGCAAGACAGAGATTAATTTAAATATAAGCGTCATATATTTTGCTCTAGATATAAACAATGTAGTACATTAGTGTTCAATACTGTAGTACATATATAATATAAATTTTTTCAACTGTGTTTTTGGGTAGATTTACATAAATTTCTTCATTATTTTCATCCATTTACATGCACACACCATACTAAAATAAACGTAAAAGAAATAAATGACCTTAGTGCAAAGCTGGAGTGCACATGTTCTAATTTGATTACGGTACTAAAATTGTTATGTCTAGTGCGAATTACTGCATGTTTATATTCAAATAAATCAGTATCTTACAAGAATCCCAGCAATGTTAATTATATTCTCCTAGGTCATTTCACTGGTATTTTAAAATGAGAGAAGCTTAGTAGGACTGTTAAATAAACACAAAGAGACTTTCGGCTCAAGGTGTCAAACATATCACCTCAACCCCCCCCCATCCCCACCCCTCGCTGGCTGGCTGTCCCTCCCAGCCAGGGTTTTGGCTTACAGTTTTTATCTTATATAATATCTCAGACTAAAGTTAGGAGATTATAATTTGCATTGCTGGAATCCTTGCAAGACAGCCAATAATTTGAATATAAACGTCATATATTTTGCTCAAGAGATACAAAATTTGGTACATAGTGTACAGTACTGTAGTACATTTATAATATAAATTTTTCAACTGTATTTTTGGGTAGATTTACATAAATTTCTTCATTTATTTTTATCCATTTACATGCACACACCATACTAAAAGAAACGTAACAGAAATAAATGACCTTAGTGCAAAGCTGGAGTGCACATGTACTAATTTGATTACGGTACTAAAATTGTTATGTCTAGTGCAAATTATAGCATGTTTTATTCAAATTAATCAGTATCTTACAAGAAACCCAACAATGTTAATTATATTCACCCAGGTCATGTCACTGGCTTTTTATAAGAGAGAAGCTTAGTCACTTAAGAACTGATAAATACACAGGTACACGCGTTAGACCTTGGGCCTGTGCCAGCTGTCAAACGTTCTACTTCCCCTCCCCCCAAGCCCCCTCGCTCGCTCCCTCCTTCCCTCCCTCTCCCCCCAACTGCCCAGCGTTGCTGGAATCCTTGTAAAACAGTGAATAATTTTATTATAAGCGTCATGTATTTTGCACAAGAGATAAAAATTAATCACCTGTGTCACATTACAGTAGTGATTTAAGAGTAAAAGTGTATATGTACGTATATAGTATTCCACATACACGTAAGTATAAATACAAAGTTTATGTGATGATCTGACAACGTCCATTTCGGTTACTGTCTTGTTTCCGAGAACGTATCTAGGACGTTAACCGGCGTATGACTGTACTGTATAGCGAACATCCTTGGACACGATCTTGCGATATATAACCCTGATCCTACTGTATATAAATAACTGGGGGTGAATGATGTACTGAAGGAGATGTTTAATGCTTGTTTCATGACAATATTTTTTGCTAGTGTGTGACCAGTTAAACACATGTTTGATTACCCAGGTATTGTCCTGGTATTGATAGATAAATACACTCATTTCAGAGCATGTTTGGCAAGTTGCGGTGCAGCCACGGAGTCTTGGTAGCAGTAAAGGACTGACAGGAGAGCACCACATCTGTCTCACTTACAAGTCCATTGCACTCGTCAGAGTGGGAGACTGCCAGAAAAAGATTGAATTCCCAGTAAGTCATCACAGGCTAATTTCATTTTGTATAGGCCAGGCAAAAATAATTGTTTGTTTCCAGATCCCTTACCAAGCCCTTCTCAACCTCACCACTCAAAAATTCAATATGCCATTCACCTCCCCCAACACACATGGCATTTGACAAGTGAGACACTAGAGCGGGTCTGAGAATCCATAGCTTTTTACTCCAACAAAATAGAAAAGCTATAACCTGCAACAGGTACTACAGTATGTGTTATACATTGAATTGTTTACGTAAGCACAGGAACTTTGTGTGTTCTTTTTTCTCATGTGGTTATCAATACAGCGGTCCGACTAATTACCCAAATGTACCCAAATGTAGCCGCAATGAAGTCAAATAATGGTCCTACATGAATAAATTGGACTGCCAATCACTTCTCGAATAGTATTTGGTGTCACGAAGTCACAAAAATATGGTAAACTTAATTTAAACTGAGTTAATAGATCTCGTGCTTGTACCGAGGGAGCAAGTAATTTCCCGAATGTAGTCGCAATGAAGTCAAATGATGGTCCTACAAGCGTAAATCGGGCTGTGAACCACTTCTCGATTATTATTTGGTGTCATAAAGTCACAAAAAATTGGTAAACTTAATTTAATCAGAGTTGTGTGAGGTTAGGTTAGGTTAGGTACATGCACTCAATTTATTAACTCAGATTAAATTAGGCTTACCAATTTTTTGTGACTTCGTGAAACCAAATACTAGTCGACAAGTGATTAACAGTCCGATTTATTCATGTAGGACCATTATTTGACTTCATTGCGGCTACATTTGGGTAATTAGTCGGACCCTCAATACAGTGGTCCCTCGGTTAACGAACGGTTCGATTAACGAAATTTCGGTTTACGAATTAGCTCCCATAAGGATTTTCAGTTCGATTAATGAAATCCTCACGACAAACACATTTTGTTGTGCGTATCAGCTGATTGGCTAGTCCGCCAATACAGTAATTGGTTCTATGTTTACATTCGTTTTCAGTGGAGTAAATAACAAGAAACATGGTCTCTTGAATATTTTTGTGTTTTTTATATTAAAATTATTGGTCATTCTAATTTAGTTAACATATTGATAATATAGACAGTACAGGGAACAGTTTTTATGCGCCCATCAGCTGATTGAATCACCCAACAACGCTTCTCAGTTTAACTTTGTTTACAGTGGAGTGAACATCGATTTTGTTGGTCTCTTGAATATTTTTGCATTTTTACATTAAAATTATTGATCATTCTGAAATTTAGTTAACATATTGATTATATACAGTGAACCCTTGCTTTACGCGGTCAATTGAACCCACGGAGGCCGGCGTAAAGCGAGAAACGCGTTAAGTGAACAACATAACATATGGGATTAATTGAAATAAAGACTGGGCCGACCCCCAAACTCCACTTTTTCTGACACAATACCTATGTTATAGTAAAAATAACATCTTAATTTTATGATGGTATGCACACACAATTAATATTTAATAGAAATACAGACTAAAGTTAGGATGATATAATTGACATTTCTGGATTCCTTGTAGGTCAAGGAATATTTTGAATGTAAACTTCATATATTTTGCACAAAATATAAAATATTTGCTTTGTGTAAACCAAATTATTACATTAGATCTAAAATTTGTATGTCTAATGCAAAATCCATGATGTTTATATTCAAAATGATGATCATATTGTAAGAATTCCAGCAATGTAAATTATATTCTGGCCGGGTAATTTGTATGAATTTTATGAGCTAAAACAAATATCTTCAGTTAATAAAAAAAAAAATATTCTTCTGGACACTATCTGTCAATCAAAATACCCCACCTCACCTCCCCCCCCCTCTTCCCACCACACCAGCTGGGTCGGTTGGTCCCTCCCTCCCTCCCTCCCTCCCTCCCTCCCTCCCTCCCTCCCTCCCTCCCTCCCTCCCCCCCACCCCACCTTCCCTCCCTACCAGAGAAATGTTTGGGAGAAAACAGTATATTTACATTTTCAGTAATAAATAATACCTCAGACTAAAGTTAGGATAATATAATGGACATTTCTGAATTCCTTGCAGGTCAGGGAATATTTTGAATGTAAACTTCATATATTTTGCACAAAAGATAAAATATTTGCTTTGTGTAAACCAAATTATTACATTAGATCTAAAATTTGTATGTCTAATGCAAAATCCATGATGTTTATATTCAAAATGATCATCATGTTGTACGAATTCCAGCAATGTAAATTATATTCTGGCCGGGTAATTTGTATGAATTTTATGAGCTAAAAAAAATATCTTCAGCAAATAAACAAAAATTATTCTTCACCAACACTATCTGTCAATCAAAATACCCCACCTCCGCCCTAGCTGGGTCCCTCCCTCCCTCCCTCCCTACCAGAGAAATGTTTGGGAGAAAATAGTATATTTACATTTTTAGTAATAAATAATAACTCAGACTAAAGTTAGGATAATATAATTGACATTTCTGGATTTCTTGTAGGTCGGGGAATATTTTGAATGTAAACTTCATATATTTTGCACAAAAGATAAATTATTTGCTTTGTGTAAACCAAATTATTACATTAGATATAAAATTTGTATGTCTAATGCAAAATCCATGATGTTTATATTCAAAATGATCATCGTATTGTAAGAATTCCAGCAATGTAAATTATATTCCGGCCGGGTAATTTGTATGAATTTTATGAGCTAAATAAAAAATTATACTTCACCCGCGTATATGAGTAGATGCACTGTGTAAAATGAAATTCCGGTTCTGGCTAGGTACCACGTAAATGTAGAATCGCGTTAAGTGAAACCGCGTAAATCGGGGTATTACTGTACAGTGCAGAAATTATTATGAAACACGAAGGCATTAGAACCAATGCTTTCTGTAAAGAATATGGCATGTCATCATCAGCTGTTTGATCTGTAAACAAAACTGCCGGGAATATGACATACGTACATCAAATTAAGTTAAAATACAGTATTCTTTTGTTTTTTATTTATTATTATACAGTGTACTGTACAGTACAGTAATGTATTTAGTTTATATTTAATGTTTTGTTAATTCTATTACTGGTATACAGTACTTTATATGTATACTGTACTTTTTCTGTGAGTTGGAACCAATTACCCAATGTCTCATTGAAATAATAGATTCGGTTAACGAACGACTCTGTGGAACGAATTGTGTTTGTTAACCGAGGGACCACTGTATATGCATGGATCGTCCCGTACAGTGTGTTTGTGTACACACACACACACATATATATATCCTTGACCACCGGAGGGTCAAGACCTATCGGGCGCCGCTCCCGCTGTGCTGCTGCTCCCCTTGGCCAATGTTGGTCCATTCCCCAAGTCCTTCTCCTCGACCTATCGTTACCACAGGAACATCAACATAATCCTGTCAAAAGTGACAATTTCGTTTCGGAAAGAAGTGGGATCAGTGTTGAACAGTGATCAACAGTGTTTAAGCCAGCGAATTCAGCCCCAGACAGTACCAGTGAGAGCAGTGACTCACCAGTGGGATAAGCACTCCTGGGAACTGACCACCACTATCTGACCAGGAGGTGTTAATCACCCCATCCTGGGAACAATAGTGGGCTGGCTTTACACCTGACTACGAGATAACATAACACCGCTTAGCAGAAAGTGAGGCACTGTGACACCACCCTACACCACCCGGTGTCTCCATGAACACGTGAGGTCCTTTATATCAACACCTGAGGACGAGTCACCCTACCACATAACACCACACCACCCGGTGTCTCCATGACCACGTGAGGTCCTTCATATCAACACCCGAGGATGAGTCACCCTACCACATGAACACCACACCACCCAGTGTCTCCGTGACCACGTGAGGTCCTTCATGTCGACACCTATGGATGAGTTACTGCACCACGTGAACACCACACCACCCCGTGTCTCCAAGACCACGTGAGGTCCTTCATGTCTACATCTGCGGGCGAGTCTCTATACCCCGTGGCCTATGTGACCTCACACAGTATGGCAAGAGACCAGCCCTGGCCAGCAACTGTAAACTATAATAATTTTTATGCTAAATTCATGTTCCTTCTCCTTTTAGTAATGAAAGCTTTTGTTAAACGACCCAACTACCCCATGTCTTTTGTAAGTAATAAGTAATTTTTGTTTAATGTATATTTTCAACCTTCGGGCTGCAGAACTTTTTCAATAAACCGTTACAGTGGTCCCTCGGTTAACGAACGGTTCGATTAACGAAATTTTGGTTAACGAATTACCTCCCATAAGGATCTTCAATTCGGTTAACGAACAAAACTTTGATTAACAAAATTCTTACGAACATCACGTTTTGTTGTGAGCATCAGCTGATCAGCTGATGGGCTAGTCTGCCAATTCAGTAATCTGTTCTATGTTTACATTCGTTTCCAGTGGAGTAAATATAAAAAAAGTTGTGCTCTTTAATATTTTTGCATTTTTTGTATTAAAATTATTGGTCATCTTAACATTTATTTAACATACAGTCAACCCTCACTTTACGCGGTTAATGTAACCCACAGGGTACCGCGGAAAGTGAGAAACGCGTAAAGTGAATAACATAACATATGGGATTAAATGAAATAGAGACCAACTGACCCCCAAACTCCACTTTTTCCAACACAATACCTATGTTCTAGTAAAAATAACATCTTAATTTTATGATGGTACATGCACACAATTAATACTTAAGAGAAATAGAGAAATACAGTCGCCAAGTTAATGTCCATTCAAATAATGGACTCCACTCCCTCCCCCTCTTCCCACACTACACTCCCTGGCTCTTTCCTCTGAGAAATTTTGGGGGGAAAACCAGGTATAGTAATAAATAATGCCTCAAACTAAAGTTAGGATAATATAATTGACATTGCTGGATTCCTTGTAAGACCAGGAATATTTTGAATATAAATGTCATATATTTTTCACAATAGATAACATATTTACTCAGAGTAAACATTACATCTTAAATTTGTATGTCTAATGCAAA